AATAAATAAATAAATAAATAAATAAATAAATAAATAAATAAATAAATAAATAAATAAATAAATAAATAAATAAATACGGGGGCTCACTCCGTCGTGTGGATTCGATCTTATGACTGCAGGTCTTCTGACCTTGCAGCACAGAGGCTTCTGCGGTTTAACCTGCAGCACCACCACGTCCCTTCAAAACCACATGAGGATCACCAAAATCTTTTTTCAGACAATAATGAGGAAATTTCATCTATTTCTTCTCTTCTTTGACATTCCTTTTGCTGTCATTTTAAGCCTATTCTCTCCACAGTGAAGTCTTCATTCACTACTAAGCTCTAAAGTGGCCTTGTAAATAATGCCAATGCTATTTCATTGATAACTGTGGAGAAAAGTATATAAATCTAACTCTTCTCACTTTTACATAGGGACACTGTCACCCTCTTGTATGTTTGTCATATATCCAACTAACTAGAGTTCCCAGGTCAGCAGTATCCTGTTTTTGGAGATCTTAGGGCCAGCACCTCAGATTTGGGGGTGGGGTACAGAATCCTTTTGGTGTAACAGAGGTTGGATCTTGGGATATCATGGTGCAGATACAGTATTTATAATGTCAGAGAGACTGAGTGGGTGCAGTTTGGGAACAAAGCAAGCAAGCACAGCAAACATGGCAACATTGTTGCACTGAACTAGTCAGCCCTGTTGCCAGCTAGGTATTGGTGGAGAGAGGTGTGCTCCAGATTTAAAGATGACTCTCATGCAAAACCCAAATGTTCCCTTTTCTAGTACAACTTGTTGCAAAATTTGATTCTCTATCTGTAGAAGCACAGCAATTCCTAGAGATTTCATAAGGAGACATAGGAATAAATTATATCCACTTCATAATTTTATCACAAGAGTGATCTATGAGAATATTCTTTGAAAGAACTGACTGCAACATATTTCCACATTAGCTCTATGCAATTATGCTCGTGTAGTGCTGGCTCAATGTGTTACTACTTCCAAAATCAGCTGAGTTAAGGTTTATAGCCACACCATTAAAAAAAACAACCTTCTATAATATAACTCCAAAAGGTCTGAGTAAGCCTGAATAATTGGTATAATTCCAACATAAATATGTGCTCGTTAAATCCAAGGACATAATGCCATTTATAAATCTTAAAATCCATACTTGAAAGACAGGTTCTACTAACTTATGTAAAAACTTCTATTGAAAGAATCTCTGTTGGAAAAAGGATGATTTCTAGTGTTACAGTCCAACAAAAAACTCTGACCTCTCATTTTATCGCTTTTCTGTCTCTTTATGCCTAACTTTGTCAATCAGCTTAGCAATGCTAGGTTTTTTATTTATTTACTTATGAATGGTCATTGCAATTTTTAAAACATATGCTGAACTTGACCTTAGGTACTTTTTATATTTCATTTCCTCCTGTCCACACTATATACACACAAACATGAACATCTATGTATATGCAGATAAGTGTGTGTGTGTGTGTGTGTGTGTCTGTCTGTCTGTCTGTCTGTCTGTCTGTCTTTCTAGTTATACTGCTACTTCTACCTATACATACAGTTATTTAACTTTTGCTAATAGTTCAAAAATCTGATGATGTAGACTCTGGTCCGAAAAAGCTTATTTTATGATATATTAATTAGTCTTTATAGTGCTACAATACTTGATTCTGCTAAAGTGGCCTAACATACCAACAAGCTTCCATTTGGCACCCTATTATGCTGAGGTTTTTTATTTTTAATGGTCAGAGGCTGCCCAGTAAAAGAGCAACAAGAAACGTCTCCCACTCCACCAACACATGGTAGTGAAGAAAGCTGCACCTTAAATTATTTTACATATTAAGAATGTTTGGGATGCCCACTTCAAAATGCATTTGATGAAAATGGTAGTTTCTTGTTAACCCTTATACAGTAATGAAAAGCTGGAGGGGGGGATCATATTTGAAATTGCCCTTCTTTGGACTGAATGGCATACAGTATGATGTGTATTACTGGGATATAAAGGGACCGGGAGGACAGATGGAAAGGCGCTGTAACAGAAAGGGTGAGAAAGTAGCTCCTCCACTCACCGTGCTTTCTGTGCGAACATATCCTATATCTTCGATTGCTCTGATGTTGATAATGTGAATCCCCTTCTCCTCTGCAGGTAGCGTGGAGTATTTATCATTCACCCTCATTGTTGTTTCATGCGGAGTATCCTCAAAATCTTCTGGCAGAAATTCCACCCCATTCAATGAACTGCCAGTGTCTAAAAGAAAGAGAAACAGGTAGCCTTAAAAAAAAAGGAAAAAAGAAGAAGATCCTTTCATCACGTCTCATCTCCAGGCTTTCATGGCACTATCCAGCTGGAACATGTCCGGTTCCCAGTCTGCATCTGCCCGTCTTTTGTCTCCCCACCCCCTTTTAAGTACCTCCCCTGCCAGCTTTGCCGTATGCTCCCCTGGCTCTTCTCTGAGCACTTGTTTGGCTTCCCTAGGTTTCTGCTTGAGACTGACTTAATTAACAAGCATTGCAGAAAGGATTCTGTGTTTTAGCCTACAAGCCCTGTTGGGCTCCTCCAAACTGCACCTAGTATCTGCTGCATGAACTGAATTTCTAATCAATTGTCTTAGGAATAGCCAATGGCAAAATTCACTGTGCTCAATAACCTAGATAAGTACCAGGAGCAGAAGCACAAGCATAACAAAACAGAAGGAGAGTAACATGCACCTGCTACTCTATCTATAGAGCATTACCAAATCTCTATATAATAACAATTGCATAATGGCAAAGGAATATTCAAATCGGTTCAGTTCATTCAAGTGGGTTGCAGTGTTAACAGTCTGGCAACATTGATCCCAGGATTTAGCCAGCCTGCAGGCAGGTAGATGGAATTGTCAAAGCACATCTAACTTCTGCATGCTCTGCCCAAGGTGAGGGAGCAGCTTTTAAAAATCCCATTTATCCTTTGGCATATATTGAGAATGTACTGTGTGCTGATCATCTCGCAGGATAATACAAATCAGCTACCTGGAAAATCTAAATCTAGCAGACTGGAAATTGCCCAAAAGGTATGCTAGCTGAGAGGGATTCTCATTAGTTGAGGGATTCTGGGAGTTACAGCCCCCCTCCCCCCAAATAATATTTTCAAGTCCTGAGGACACCGTTGCTTGATCCAGAAAATTGTCTGAGTATGTACAGTAATGATATGTTGTTAAAGCTAAAGATATCTTACAGAGGCATCCGAATATCAGAAAAGATCAAATCTCTTAAGGCCTGGATGTTAGACAACCTTGGAACTCTAGATACATCTCAATTAAAAATACATATTAGTGCAGGCATTCTGAAATTACATTTATCAATTATGTAGAAAAATGCTGTGTAGATTGACTCCATATTTTATTCCGATTAAGTGGAAGAATCCACACTTCCCACATTTGTGCGAAACACTTTATAGACAAGATCACATCTTTCAAACAAGAAAACATTACATTCAAATAACATATTTACACAAAAAAATCATGAAAAGTTTCCTAAATAATTGCATTTGTGCAGTTCACATTTATGGAAACAACGAACCTGATAATTTCCAAGGAACTAACTGTAATGCATTGCAGCAAAAACAGCAAGGTGTCTTTGTAGCATCATAAAACTAGCAGATGTTGTTATGATATAAGCTTTCATGGACGTGAAGTGGGTTGTAGCCAACAAAAGCTTATGCCGTAACAAAATCTTCACATCCGTAAGGTGCCATAAGATGCTCTTAATTTGGCCAAGTACGGGAATAGGTTGGAACTCTGCTCAGAGGAACCAGTTCTATTGTGCAATTTCAAACAATCACCCATCTGTCAGTGTGTACACCTGAGCCTCTGGTGTCATGAGCCTTGGCAAGGCATAGCGTAATGCAGAACAAACATATCAACATAATAGGCAAGGAACCATGAAACGTGTTTGCTATGGACAGTAGAAGGGATGTGAAATGTAAATATTTCATTAATATAAGGTTACACTTCCTTTATGAATTAAATGATCAACTAGAAGGTAATTTAATTTTAAGGAGTAATTTAAACCTCAACATTTATATAATGTGTCAATTAGTGGCTGAAATCCTGTTCCTTAGCACAGAAAGTCACACTAGAATAGGCTCCTTTAATCAGTGGGGATTTGGTGAGTCAGCTCCTCTTTACGTTCCATTAATTCAAATGGTCTACTCTCCTTACCACTGTGCTAAAATAAGTTGCAACTATAGTAGTTCCCTTTGAATCAATGGAATATACAGAAGAGTTCACTCACCAAATCTCCATTGATTCAACAGCCCTATTCTTCAATAGGGCTGTTGAATCAATTTACTATACTAAGGAACAGGATTTCAGCCATACTGTTACCGGTTTCATGTGAGACACTGATGTGAAGCACTCTTATTCACAGAATTTCTTTCCCTGAATTTCTAGAGGTATAGCTGTGTTTGTCATGCTAAAACCAAAAGACCTAAATTCTTTGTCCTGTGTTCTAGCTTTATCTTGGCATTTATAAACATAAACATCAGCCATTCCATCAGGCTGTAGCAAAGGCAGAGAAGGGACCACCATTGACTCTCTTGACAAAACATGAAAACCAGCCTTTTCTTTTCTTTCTATGAAGCCCAGAACCACTTATAGTCTATATAAAAACACAGCACTAAATCCAATTTTAGTTGTAACTGCCCCGAAGGGGCAGAGGAACTAGAGAACAAATTGCTAACATGCGCTGGATTATGGAGAAAGCTGAGAGTTCCAGAAAAACATCTGCTTCTGCTTCATTGACTATGCAAAAACCTTTGAGTGTGTGGACAACAGCAAACTATGGAAAGTCCTTAAAGATATGGGAGTGCCTGACCACCTGATCTATCTCCTGAGAAACCTATACGTGGGACAAGAAGCAACAGTTAGCAATAAATATCAACAACCTTCAATATACAGATGATACCACTCTGATGGCAGAAAGTGAGAAGGAATTAAAGAACCTCTTAATGAGGATGAAAGAGGAGAGTGCAAAAAATGGTCTGAAGCTCAACATCCAAAAAACTAAGATCATGGCCACTGGACCCATCACCTCCTGGTAAATAGAAGGGGAAAAGATGGAGGCAGTGACAGATTTTACTTTCCTGGACTCAATGATCACTGCAGATGGTGGCAGCAGCCACAAAATTAAAAGACACCTGCTTCTTGGGAGGAAAGCAATGACAAACCTCGACAGCATCTTAAAAAGCAGAGACATCACCTTGCCGACAAAAGTCCACATTGTCAAAGCTATGTTTTTTCCAGTAGTGATGTATGGAAGTGAGAGCTGGACCATAAAGAAAGCTGACCACCAAAGAATTGACGCTTTTTACTTGTGGTGGTGGTGGAGGCTCTTGAGAGTCCCCTGGACTGCAAAGAGAACAAACCTATCCATTCTGAAGGAAATCAACTCTGAGTGCTCACTGGAAGGACAGATCCTGAAGCTGAGGCTCCAATACTTTGGCCATCTAATGAGAAGAGAACTCTCCCTGGAAAAGACCCTGATGTTGGGAAAGTGTGAGGGCAAGAGGAGAACGGGACGACAGAGGATGGGATTGGTGGGCAGTGTCATTGAAACTACCAACATGAATTTGACCCAACTCCAGGAGGCAGTGGAAGACAGGAGGGCCTGGCATGCTCTGGTCCATGGGGTCACGAAGAGTCAGACATGATTTAATGACTAAACAACAACAGACTCAATCATTTGAATGAAAAGTAAAACTTACAGATGTCCAACAAAATACAATAGAATTAAATACAATCTCCTTGTGGTATTGCTGGTGGATAGGGGAGGGTTTCCATAAGTGGGAAGATGCTGGGAAGTTTGAGCAAGCGGCTTGCAGACACACTCATGTCTCCTGTACAGTTTAGACCCAGGCAGCCTAATTTTGTGTTGGCTTTGTGTCTCCCTTGAACACTGTTTATTGTTTCCTCTCCTTCATTCTTTCTCACGACCAACCCTAAATTATATCATCCTTAGCTGAAAAAGTATGCCTCCTACCCACTTCTCTGTCCACCCAGCAAAAAAACCTGTAACATTCCGGTGTGGTTCTGTTCAAAAAAGCTATGTTCTTTGCTAACCTATATTTCCCATGAAGATATATCCTGGGTTCTTTACATTGATTTGTCACATAAGAAAAGTGGTAGGAAATTTTTATATTTTTTGGACTACAGTTCCCAGAATACCTGAGCTACCATGGCCAGTACTTTTCCAAGCTGTAATACAAAAAAGGACTGTTTCCCATTTCTGTATCCATGTTTCTGCGTCAAAGTTTCTTAAGGTAGAGTGGTGAACCTACATCTCTCCTGTTGTTGGACTGCAATCTTCAGCCCTAATTATTGCAGTCAATGGTAAGTGATGATGGGAGTTCCAGTCCAGTAATACCTGTAGGACCACACATTACCCATCTCTGCCTTGAAGCAATGATAGCCCTGTTCACAGTAATCTGACAGTTGACAGTATTGTACATTTGCAAACCTAAAATGACATTCAAAGTCATGAAACTATAGAGTCACTCGTGATGTTTCAGGATGATGTTTTAGGCAAAAAGTTCAGGAATCCATTGCAACCACAACTGAAGAATATATGTGACAACACAATGTTGTTTGTCTACCAGATAAATAATATTGCATGATATACTCAGTTATATTTCACTAAGAGTTTATGTGAAAATTGCTAGGATGCTCCAAAAGGTATCAACCAAAAAGATGAACAGTTATCCTTTCTGAGTCATCATTCTTTTCGCTCTTACTCCAGTATGTTGCTAGATTTGGTAGCTCTGGGAGTTTTACAAATACAATATGCATCTACTAAAAATACATACAGTTGAGTTCTTTTTTCATACTGCATTAAGCATGTAGCCAGAACAGAAACTCTGTTATATACATAAGATTTTAAAATCCTGTACTCATAGGCTTTAGAATTTATGACATGTGACATGACAGGCTCTATTTAAACAATAAACATTTGTAGTTAGGATAAAATGTATTCTTAGAAAGAGAACTTGGAAAAGAAACTTTCTTAGCATATTGCATTGAGAATTCTGGGACTTACGGTCCAATAAGTAACTTTTCCAATCCCTTGTTTACAAGTTCAGTATTGACTGGTTTTCCTACCATTTATAGTGTACCACCCACCTAGGTACACACTTGATCTACCCAGTAAAGATTCACTCTTGCTCACATGGATTATCTGAGTATACTTACTATGCCATTTGACCAACAGTGTCTC